CACACACACACACCAGTCTTGCACACAAGCTGAAGCTCAGTCTAGCAAAAGACTCACTCATGATGATACAAACTTTTGTTCTGATAGCCATTGTGACTACTGATGTTCAGGGATGGGTCTCAGTTGGCAGCTGTCCTGTTCTATTTGCCAAATACCAGAAGAAGCCAGAAGTACAGGGATTGCAGCAGCTGTTTGCCTCCACCTAGCTTTGTGGTTGATATGCAGCTCAAAGGTCATGAGATGTCTGCACAAGAATAAAAATCCTGGCCAAGGAATATCCAATTTTTTTTAGCACATCTCTATTTGCTGTTCTGGGACCTGCCTGTCTCTGTGTGTGTGTCTGTCTGTCTATCTATCATCTCAAATTATATATCAAAAAGCTAATTATATAAACAAGCTAATTACTGTAAAGTTTGAGTCAGTTAAGAGCTAAAAGGATAGTAGATGGGGTGGATGAAAGCATATTAGAAGATGTCTGCATCACAACACCTCAAAGCAGCATACATGAATAGCTGATGACTTCACCATCTTCTATCTTTGGGAAATGTTGGTTACCTCACATCCACCCCACCCCACGGTCCCATCTTCATTTCTCCCTTATCAAGAAATGGAACGATCCTTTCCTCCCAAGATTCAGATGATGGAATCTTAGATAAGAAACTGACGTCATTGATGATGCCTTGTTTTTAGGTGAAGAAATGTGATGGTCGTGGCTCTTTTGCATTAAAAAAAAAAAAAAGAATCATCCTGTGACATTTGGGTAGCTGGCTCATGTGCAAAATACAACGAGCTAAGAATTGAAAAAAATGTCACTAGGGACACTGCTGTTACTCGAGATTTTGCATCGTTTGGATAACAACAAAATGAAAATCTCTACCATTAAAGCCTGCTGACTAATAATTTGCGCTCATATGATCCGACAACATTTTGTGATCAAATCCTACATATAGTCTCTGATGCTCCTTCACAAACAAGGAAGGCGACCGGGTGGGACTTTTGAGTAAACTGGCATTTTGGGGGAGTATTCGGCCCATCAAAAATCCGATGGAGCTACGAAGCTCTCCTGGCCGCGAAAGCTGCCGTAACTGGCTCCTCTGGTATTCCGAGGGGATCGCTAAGTAATCTTAGAAACGAAATGAAATTGCCATTTCCTTTTCACTGCATTGCATTTCATGGAAAACGAGAGGGCAGCAAAACGAGAGAATCAACTAGAGGGGGTGGGGGGGGGGGAAACCATCCTTTAAAAGCCAGCCGTCTTAAATTTAAAGCGGTTTCCTTTTATACCCGCCTGGGTTGTAAAAATAACGGGAGAACCAAACGGCAGAACTTCAGAGACACGTCATATCTCTACTCCTGCCGAAAAAAGCCTGGCGGCAGCCTCCACACAACTTCTGTTGAAAGGCAGCTCGGCCAATGCCGGCTCGCGTCGCCCCATCTCGCTTCGTCTTCAAATGTAAGCCGAAATCGGCCGGCCTTCACCTTCGAAAGATGGTCGCCAGCCAATGGCAGACCATCCTTTTGCCGGGGGAGAGCGGGGATTGGCGCACGGGCTCTGCTGATCCACTCTGGAAAAGCTCCTTGATGTTTCCTGGAGCGGGGATGGAGAGGCGGAGGTGGCCCCGGCTGGCGTGGGGATTATAGGCGAAGGAAAATCCTCCGCGGCAGCCTAGGGGGCACTCCGAGCTGGCGGCNGGCGGCGGCGGCGGCGGCGAACGGGAGGCGCCCATCCCCTCGTACACCTGGGAAGAGATCCAGAAGCATAACCTGCGCACGGACAAGTGGTTGGTGATCGAGCGAAAGGTGTACAACATCACCCAGTGGGTCAAAAGGCACCCGGGGGGGATCCGCGTGATCAGTCACTACGCCGGCGAAGATGCCACGGTAAGGGCTCCAGGCGGCGGCGGCGGCGGCATCTTGCCGGGAGCAAATGGCTGCTGCTGCTGCTGCTGCTCCCGTCCCTCGCCGGGGCTCCCCCTCTTTCTCTCACCTGCCGCGGGGCTGGGAAATCGGTCGCTCCGGCTGGCGCGCGGGAGACACGGCGGATGGGGCTGCCCCGGACTGCGGGGGAAGCTGCCTTTAGGCTTTGCTCTGCCGCGCGGGCTTGGAGTGCCCGCCGCCCCGGCGCTTTTCTCCCTGGAGTCCAGCAGGGCTGAGGGACAAAAGCGAGCGCTTGTAAACGACGGCCGGGAGAAAACCGTGGCCGCCCAGCTCCCGCATCTCTCTCGCCCGCTCCCTTTGCTGCAGCCAAGTGGTACCGTAGTCCCGGGGTGACGCGAGGTCAGCGCTAGAGTCGGCTGCCTATTCTGAGGCGGGCAGTAGCTCCGGACTGGCTTGTTGCCTTGGATACCCTGGATCATCACCACCACCCCAAAAGCCCCCCCCCCACCCGCGGCTCCTTGCAATAATAGTCGCAGAGTTCTTTTCTTATGAAGGCCAGCCTAATTTAGCAAACCCAGGGCATCTCTGTGAACCCGATGGGTTTTTAAAGCCACAAGAGCACAGCTAACCGGGTTTAAGAATCGCTCCAGGTTCAAATGGAACCCGTGCTTTGTAGACCAAAGGCCGGAGAGCAACAGCAGAGGTGCCTCCCCAACCCGCTAGGGTGATCCACCTAAACCCGATTTTTTGCAGGGCTCCCTAGAGGGGCCACCATTAATAGCAATAGCACTTAGACTTCTATACCGCTTCATAGTGCTTGACAACCCCTCTCTAAGCAGTTTACAGAGTCAGCATTATTGCCCCCAACCTCATTTGACCCACCTCAGAAGGCTGAGTCAACCTTTGAGCCAGTCAGGATCGAACCCCTGGCTTGTGGGCAGAGTTAGCCTGCAGTACTGCATTCTAACCACTGCACCGCCACCAATCTTAACCAAGAGGAAAGGTAGAAGGGCACCTAGCTGACATAGTGGCCAAATGTGACGTGGTGACAACTGGAGGACAAAATCTCACCTATGCTCAGAAGCCATGTTTTAAATCATCTCCTGAAGCTAAATCCTGAGGATGTCTGAGAGAGGAACACCAATTGTTAGCATTCAGTAGTCCTGGACGTGAAAGGCATTGCTGTTCCTCAGTTCCAAAATAAATATATTTGAGCTGACTTATTTACAGTAGTCCTTGGCTTACAGCAGTTCATTTAGTGACCATTCAAAGTTACAACAGCACTGAAAAAAGTAATTTATGGCCGTTTTTCACACTTACGACCATCGCAGCATCCCCAGGGTCATGGTGATCAGAATTCGGACGCTTGGCAACTGATTCACATTTATGACCATTGCAGTGTCCTGGGATGACGTGAATCATCTTTTGTGACCTTCTTACAGGCAAAATCAACAGGGAAGCCAGTTTCACTTAACAACCATGATACTAACTTAACAACTGCACTTAACTGTGGCAAAAAAGGTCATAAAACGTGGCAATATTCACTTAACAAATGTTTCGCTTAGTAACAGAAATGCTGGGCTCAATTGTGGTTGTAGGTCGAGGTCTTCCGGCATTTAAGAGGGGCACTGTAGACCAGGCATGTCAAACTGTCAGCCCATGGGCCGGATGCGTCATGCCGAAACTGCACCCACCCCATTGCCAGCAATGGGGGGAAAGTCCCAATACGTCACGCGACATCATGTGACATCGCGAGTTTGACATGCCTGCTCTAGACAATGATCCTGTTCATTTGTGTCATCCTTACTTTTTATGGTTTACCGCAAAGCCTGAGTAGCCAGAATATGCTTGTAGCTTGGTGGGTGGATTCATGCATTCATTTTACCTTCCCCCCCCCTCCCTCTCCCCCTCCTACTCCATATAAAAGGAGACCATCTCATTCCCAATCAGATCCTTTTAACTTTTTCCGCTACTTTCTCAATAAGGGAACGCATGTCTGAACATACTAAAGAAATAAGAAAACGTCTATTTAGAACTGTGCTGTCAGCATTGGGATTTAGATTTGTCCACCATAAAGTTTTTGGGGAATGTTGTGTTGTTCCAGAAATCCATATCTTTTCAAAACAGCTGAACCTTAAAGCTAAAATGTTGGTGAGGAGGAGGGAAGATTTCAGAAGATGGAATCTAGTTCTTGTCAATTATTTTTTTCCTCCAGAGTCTGCAATGGTGTCATATTAAATTGATTGGTCCAGATGACCCACCAATCTGCAACTGTAGTTGTCAAGTTGTTTATAAACTTTATACTACAGTTTATCGTTGTTCCACTTGTCTGTGGTGTTGGTCCTATGAAACACACGGAGATGGGTTCTATTGTCCCTGTTGTTTCAAGCCACAGTGAAGGCTCTCTAAGGCAACATTTTTAAAAATTTGAAACACTGTGAAGTAAAAGGTCTGAGCTATGGAATTCTGTAGAACAAAAAGGGTTTTAAAAAACATACAATCATTACTTTCTATGGGATTCTAATTTGAGATGGAGAAGGAAGCAATTTTTAATCACAATATGTCCCTAATAGACAAACCTTTGGGGCCTTGTCAGGATAAGAGTTTTAAAAAATATTTTGCCCTTTAGAAGCCGTAAGAGTTAATGACCAATGATGCAGTGATGTTACTGGATGAGCACAGGCTAACAACTTAGGCCTGGGGAGGGGAGTTGTGTGCTGAAGGGGAATCCAAGAGTTCTTTGGATTTTTGTTTTTTTTAAATGATAAGGGTAGAAATAGCTGCTCTTCTCTTGCAGAATGATATTGCATCAATTTCCTTATATTTGCAGGAAAAAAGCAAAACATGAATGATAGAGAACCAGTCTTTTGGGTATGTGATGGAGTCCATAAAATGTAGACTTCTTAAGGCCAATGGCTCCCCTCACAAAATATGGGGCAGCTGCTAATCCTATTTTCCCAATGATTTAGCAATCTCAAAGGGACAGTTTTAACCTGCTTGTTGTCCTCTTTTTAAAGCAAACTCTACCCTTATTGATACATTAAAATCTTCCTGCTCCTCTACTACATGAATCCTGGAACCTAAGAATCATGCTATGTTTACATTTGTTAGAAGGAGATAAAATAACTTTTAACCCAGTTTGAACCATTGGTTAAGAAAAGTAAAATGGGCATTGGCCTTTCTGCCTTCTAATCTTTTTCAGATGAAATTTTAACAACTTCATCATATTTATTCATAAGCATAGTCATTCATAAATAACCCCACTAATGCAATACTGTGAGGGTTTTGTTTTTTTTAATCAACTAAGTGTGCTCAGAATTTCAGGCTAAAAGTTGCTTCCAATTGACAACGAGAAGGGAAAGATTCTTTCTCACTCTTGCAATCCTGTCTCCAGTGTGACCATTTAGAGTTCATTAGGAATTGAGATGGGGGTTCCCAGAAGAGGATGACTGAAAATTGCCACCTTCTCCCTTCAGTTGGAAGATGCATTCTATCAAGGAATTGAATATTAATTAAAGCAGCCAACGGTACACACACTTTTTCTGCAACCGTGTTATTCTATCAAACCACCTGTGAGGTTCAGAGTCCTGAAATTAAAACAGCACTTTCCTGGTATCAGAATTATTTCCTTTTTCCTCCTAGATGTTCGGGGGGTGGGGTGTCTGCTAGTCACAAAAAACAAATAGTCAAAGAGAGAAATGTGAGAGTTGATTCAAGGATAATCCAGATAATAGCAGTGGATCTTGGCCGGATGTGTGGAAATGGGCAAGACATACAATACGCTTAGAGCCCATGATCAAGATTGATTGGTAGCAGCAGAACTGCAAGCTGAAGTGCACAGGGACAGTGTGACTCATAATATATAATGGGAGGAGTCTCTTAGACAAGCGAGGGAGCAACAGACTTCTGCTGATATTCAGCATTTTATGTTTGCAGGGTCGAGGCATTAAGTGGAGACACATTGTGTGAACAAGCTTCCTTTATTGATCTCTTCTCACAACCAGCAACCAGCAAAAGGCGTGCAGGCCTTTTATAGTGTCCAAAACCCGGACAATGTTAGCCAATAGAAATCCAGCTGTTTTCGCACTTTGCGCATGCGCGCAAGGCTGGTGACAGCCAGTCTGGTCCCGGGCAGCTTTCGGTCTGCCCGGGACCATTTGCAACATTTCTGAGCCTGCTGAATGCTTCAGCAGGCTCAGGACACAACACAACATTTAATAGAATCTGACAGGTGCCAGTCATCTTTGAGTTCCAGGAGTACTAAGTATACCCTGCAGGCACCTGCATCAGCCTTGCAGTATGACTTGCCATAAACATGAAGTATATGTAGCAACAACATCAGCTGCGTGTTCTTAAATGGATTATGAAATACTAATAGATGTTGCTTGCTTGTCACTTAAACTATGTGTGTAATCCAGGGATCCAAAACTCCTTAAAACAGATCCTTTGTATTCCATTTCAGTGTTTTGCAGTAGAGGTGGATTGTGGAAAGGACTGTTTTCCTTTTTGATGGGCAAGTTAAGTTGCAATATATAACCCTATACACATTTGTTGAGAAATATGTTCATTTAACTACTACTACTGCAGTCATGTCAGAGCACCACTTTACAATGACTTGGTAAGGCCACACTTGGAATACTGCATCCAGTTTTGGTCACCACTATGTAAAAAAGATGTTGAGACTCTAGAAAGAGTACAGAGAAGAGTAACAAAGATGATTAGGGGACTGGAGGCTAAAACATACAAGGAATGGTTGCTGTAATTAGGTAAGTCTAGTTTAATGAAGAGAAGGACTAAGCAGTGTTCCAATATCTCAGGGGTTGCCACAAAGAAGAGGGAGTCAAGCTATTCTCAAAAGCACCTGAAGGCAGGACAAGAAGCAACGGATGGAAACTAATCAAGGAGAGAAGCAGCCTAGAACTAAGGAGAAATTTCCGGACAGTTAGAACAATTAACCAGTGGAACAATCTGCCTCCAGAAGTTGTGAATATTCCAACACTGGAAGTTTTTAAAGGATAGCCATTTGTCTGAAATGGTATAGGGTTTCCTGCCTGAGCAGGGGGTTGGACTAGATGACCTCCAAGGTCCCTTCCAACATTATTATTATTATTATTATTATTATTATTATTATTATTATTATTATTATTATTATCATCATCATCATCATCATCATCATCATCATCATCATTAACAGTGACATCATCACTGCCTGGGGGATGCTCAGTTGGAGCTCCTTTCACGTCCCCATTAAGTTGCCCACCAAAGTGGTACCCATTTATCTATTCGCAGTCACCCGCTTTTGAACTGCTGGGTAGGAGCATGTGGCGGGAACTCACCCCCTCCTATGGCAGCAACTGGGCCTTGAACTCAAGCTTACCAATCATCAGCCTAGTGTCGTAACCTCCTAAGCCAACACACACTCCCTTGTTCATTTAACTTAATATGGTGGAATCATAACTCTAGTATTAGACTAATGTGCTAGCTACTTTTTAAAAAAAAATATGCAATTGAAAGGACAGCAAAGCAAGCATACAATGTTCTCCTATAATGCAGGGTTTCTTCAACTTTTCAAAAGCAAGTTTTTTTTAAAGAGAAATATCTTGACTGTTACTTTCAAAATAAATAAAAGGATAAATTGGTAAATTCAGTACCTGGCTTGCCTTTGCACAGCTCATTTGCCTGGATGTGTATGTCTTGTGCATGGAGATCACAGATAACAGAGCACCAATGAGCTAGTTGGGCACCCAGCCTGAAGGGCCACACTTCAAGCTGCTCACTGGAGGTCAGCTGGACTTGCATAACACATCTGTAAGTTGTTAACAGAGAACTGGTACTCCTTAAAACCTAGTTTAAAAACACAGTGAAATTCAACCCATGCAACTTGTTCCTTTCCTCTTCCATCCTTCAGGGAAGTAGAAATTTGGTTATTTCTTCCCTAGTGCCAGTCCCTGGTGCCTGTCCATAAAGACACAATTGTTCCCAGGGATATCAGGGCTTTTAAGGAGACCCATGTTCATCATTAATTACATTTTCTTTGCTTAAAGAAAATAATCAAATGTGCAGGATTGTAACAAGAAATCCTGTAAGCCTGTTAGAAGCAAATTATAGCATATGCAAGTGCTAAAAAAAACAGCAGGAATGGAGCATACATTGGCTGAATTTCCTAGAATAAGTTCCTAACAATTTTCCTGCATTCTTTTTAGTCCACTAGCAAAAGATCCAGATATTAGGCCCTTAATGGTTACTTTTCAGGAACCTCATATTTTCCCTGGCTCTAAATGATGCTGCAAAGGCCATTCTAATCTGCTAAAGACTTGTTTGTTTCTTTTGCTGCTTTGCCTGAGAATCTTTTATGTGAAGTTGCTGTGAGCAATTTTCTGATTCAGCAGCAGGCCTCCAGTGCCAAACTTCCAGTTTCCAGACAAGCTGTCTTGACATCTGTTTGGCGTTGGCTGAAGAAGGGTCTTTTTCCGATTATATTAATCTTAGAAGAAAAAAGATTTTTTAAAAAAGAAAAGCTACGAGTGAGCTAAATGGAAGAGGGGAGATGTCTTGATGAGTATATCTATATCACAGTTACACTCCCAACATAATCCTCTTGCAATTGAAATACGAATTCAGCCATGCAAACGACAAATCCAACTTTGTCCCCTGAATAATGATTATCAGCCTTGTAGGAAAAATGGGAACTGGGGAAGATGGAACCCTCTTTTGCATGCCATCTTTGAAAATGAATCAGTACATCCAACAGTATCATGACATAGATGGAGGAGGCAGGTCTTTTGTTGTATCAAATAAAACAGTTCAGTGGGAAGCTGCTAGGAGCATTTATGTTTGTGCATGGCATACAAATGATCCTATATCCAATGTCGGCATCTCTCGTGAAAATAATCCTGTAGCAGGGTTGTAGAATCCTCTATTCTGAAGTGCCGCAGCTAATCAAAATGGAAGAAACTCAGCTGCGTAGACAAAACACTGGAACAAGTATATTACAGGTAGTCCTTGGCTTACAACAGTGGTTCTCAACCTGTGGGTCGGGACCCCATTTGGGGTCGATCGACCATTTCATGGGGGTCGCCAAGCAAGGCTGTCCGCCATTTTTTTTGTCCGCCATTTTTCCCCCCTTTTCCAGCGGGTGCCTTACCTCCCTTGGGCTGGGCCAGCTGGTGGTCAGCCTGCTCCGTCTCTGCCGCTTGCCAGCTACGCCTCGGCCGGCGCAGGGGGCGAAACCATGCATGCGCAGCGCTCCCGGGCAGGGAAAGTCCTCGACTTACAACCGGTTGGGTAGTCCTCGACTTATGACCGGTTTAGTCCTCGACTTACGACCGGGTTAGTTCTCGACTTACGACCGGTTGGGGTCACCACATTAAAAAGGTTGAGAACCACTGGCTTACAACCATAACCAAGGCCAAAATTTCTGTTGCCAAGCAAGGCTGTTGTTAAGTGAGTTGCTTCCAGTTTTATGACCCTTTTTGCCATGCTTATTAAGGGGATAACTGCAGTTGTTAAGAAAATCATTGGGTCATTAGACTGGTTTCCCTCATTGACTTTGCTTGTTGGAAGCCAGTTGGGAAGGTTAGGAAATGGCGATCACCTGACCCTGGGATGCCGCAAACATCCTAAGCCCATGCCAGCTTCCAAGTGCCTGAGTTTTGATCATGCGATCCTGGGAATGCTGCAACGTTCCTAAGTGCAAAGACCAGTTATAAGTCACTTTTTTTCAGTGCCACTATAACTTTGAATGGTTGCGCAATGAAGAGTTGTAAGTCTAGGATTACCTGTATAGCTCTTTTGCATTTCATTAGAAATGTTGTTTCTGCCACAGTGTTCGGTTTTCTGCATTTCCCTTTGGTTGATCAAACCAGTTATTTTATAAGGTTTTAAAAGCCTGTTTGCAGGACACGAATGTAGTAATATTCTCCCATGGGTGTTTCCTTAACAACTATTTTTAAGAAGCATGAAAAGATAAAGACTCCCTTGAGTCTCCTCCTAATTACATGGACATATTACTATGGTTTTCTTCAGCAACAGCCTCTTTGCCATAGCCTTCTTTCATAGGGTTACTGAACTGGTTTGCAAAATGCCAGATGATCTCAAGATGATTGCAGAAATGGAGAGAATTTTCTCATTACTGCCCCCAAGTAGTCAACCTTTTATAGTAGCCCTGCAGTTTTGCTTTATTTTTTTTCTTTTTAATTTTCAAATCCAGTCCCTTGCCTTGATGTACTAACCAGGTCTGGTTGTGCATTTTGAAACCAACCAAGCTCAAACTAGTGTTGTCACTGAGCTCTATACAGAGAAGCACCCTGCCTCGAATAACAAAGGGGATATAATTTCACCACAATTAGCACTCTTACTTTTCTTAGATTGTTTGATCTTTCTTTAAGTCCAAGTTGGAAGTCATTTGCATATCCTGAATTAACAAATTTGATTAAACATACTTAGGTCATGACAATCCCAAGATGTTCCCAAGATCTAGTACTGTTAAAGAGTAAAACTCGTTGGTAAACATGTTCTCTATATGATGTGTGTTTGTGTGTGTATAAATGTATATACATGTAGCCCACAGACATATATCTGATGATGTCCCCTTCCTGATTGTTCCATATTCAGAGGAAATAGAGGGGAATTTGAGATTCAGCTGGACTTCAGCAAAAATACTAAAGTTGCTACCTTCAAGAAAAGTGGAGGGGGGAGGACTTTCATTTACCTTATAAAAGGTGTGTGTGGGGGGGGAAACCCTTCACATTCAACTCCTATGGAGGAAAAAATCACCAGTGTGATGTTGCTGTTTCTGGAAGGAAAGCAACAGTTCAGCTTTCTCCATAAAGACAATACAGAGTTACTCTTTCCATCAAGTTATTGATTTGGTAAAAAGGAATAATTTTCCTCCAGATCATTCCTTTCTTAAAAGAGTTTCTCAAAACTAAATTACCAATAGGCTAATTCTCACGTGAAAGCCCATGTCTCTTCAGCTATTTGATGATCCCTGCCATCCTAACCTTGTCCCTTTAGCTCTGTTTTAAAAAGAATAAAATAAAAAGGAAGACTTTATCTTTTTAAAAAACTGATTTTTTTTTAGTGTGGATTATACGGGCTAGATTAGCAGTCGTGAATTTCTGTACATAAGGGAGGCTTTAATGAGAAATCCCATTTTAAAATAATGATGCCAAATGTCCATAAAAAGGAAAGGTAAAGGTTTCCTTTGCTTAGTCGTGTCCAACTCTAGGAGGTAGTGCTCATATCTGCTTCTTAGCCGAGGAAGCCAGCTTTGACAAAAGACATTTCCATAGTCATGTGACCAGCATGACCATACACTGAGGCACTATTACCTTCCCACCGAAGTGCTACCTATATATCTACTCGCATTTGCATGTTTCAAACTGCTAGATTGGCAGGAGCTGAGGCAAGAATGGAGCTTACCCTGCCATAGGGTACTTGGGCCACAAAATGCCAACTTTCCAGTTGACAGCCCAGCATCTTAACCATTAGCCCATAACTGCATTTAAAAAAAACTTTACTTTGGAGAAGAGGAAGAACAAGAGAAGACAACTATCATACAACCAGGTTTACAAATGAGAATGAATAAGTTATTCTAGATGCTTTAACTCTAACAATGTCTCAGCCTGTACTTTCTCACTTTTTTATAGTGGGTAAAAAAAAACTCTTAGTGAATAGTTGCAGTCAGAAGGGAGAATTGTAAATGAATGTCAGAGGTATAATGTAGATAAGCTCTCTTAGGATATCAAGGCTTATCCATCTCTTCTTTTTTATTCTAGGATGCATTTCAGGCCTTTCATCCAGATATCACCTTTGCAAAGAAGTTTCTTAAGCCATTATTGATTGGAGAACTTGCTCCAGGAGAACCCAACCAAGATAGAGGAAAGAATGTAAGTAAACGAGATGGCTTCCCGTTCTTTTAAATGAGAGAATGAGACCAAAGAGAGCCTGAAGGAAGGGACATCACATAAAGCATCAGTAAGAGAGAAATGGAGAGAAGGATTGAGATTAAAAATAGGGTAGCAGGAAAATAAAGTGGGAAAGAAAGTAATGAAACGTAGAGAAACTGAAGACAAAGTTAATAGCAAGTGCCCTAAGTTGGGAATACACTGATGTGTCTCCTTACTTAATATTAGCTGAAATCTTCTCAGGCTGAAAGAAATCCACACATAAAGCCTTTACATTAAGGTATTTCACTCAATAGTTATGCAAATCTTTGAAGGGGTGTTTCATTTTAATAAAGACTCAGAAGAAGCAACCTTTAGAAGAGCCAAATGTTGCTTCACTTTGTTCTTCCTCCTCCTCCTCCTCTCCTCCTCCTCCACTTCCTCCTTCTCCTCTTCCCCTTCCCCCTCCATAAAAAACATTGCAAACTAAACTCAGAAAGGAAAAGAAAAATAAAATATAGAAAGTGCAAGAGAAAAGAAAATAAGCAAAAAAGAAAGAAAATGAGAAAAATAAGAGAAAGAAAAGAAATGTTTTAAAATACGACTTCCATTTTTTATCACAAGCATGAACAAATTTAGTAATTCTTCAATCTCCATAAGATTGCATACAAGCATGTCTTCTTTCTATAACACATCTCTTATCCATATGCAAATCCATAAATCATTGAGATTACAGACCAAGGCTAGCAAAATGTCTATAAAGATTTCACAGAATTTTATAGAAACATATCTTATTTTAACACATCTTAACCTTAGTGAAACAAACCAAAGTACTTTGTACTTCTTCCTTTTGTCTCTAGCAATTTTGATCTTTAATTCATTCAGATCCCTTCTTTGAGGCTTTAGTAAATCTCTTGTGAATCCAATAAAGCATCGTTTCCCAAGTAATTCTCTTGGTTTATCATTTGTATTTCCACTTTGTCATTGCTGTCTTATAATCCACATTTTTTAAACTTTTCCAGTATTTCAACAACTTCTTTATAATATTTCTGCATCAAATGATGTTTATTTCAGGTCTTTATCTTGTAGGTCTTTCAAGATATTCTGTTTCATGTCTGTCATTTCTTTTTTACTGTTCTTTGGATATAGTCGATCCATAGAAGCAGACATTATTGCTGACATTGTAGTTGCTAGTTTCTGTCCCCATTCTTCAAATCTCTCCTGGAGTATTTCAAATGTCATACTATTTTCTGTCATTTTGCTATTGCTAACCAATAAAAGGTAACCCTGCCCCTTTCTTTTTTTCTTTTCTGTTTCTTTTTATGCATGAAATCTTTCATCCTCTCTAGTGTAGAATTTCTGAAATCATAAAGTCTTAAATTTCCATTAGAATGTAAGGTAGATTAAACAATTTGATTCCCATGAAAGTGCTATTTATATATTTTCAATATCTTATAGCAAAAGTCCTAATCCAAATTTGTGTGATCCCTTAATTCATTTATAATTTAAGTTAAAATTTTATCTAGCTTTTTGCTGTTTATTTCAAATTCTTTAAATTCTTAAACTTATAGTTATTTTTCTTTTATTCTGAAATGAAGGTAAACTCACCATGTGGCTTTGCAAATTTATCATTTTGAAGATCTCTATTAGTGTTCAGATAGTTAAATAGGTAACTCATAAAAGTGATTAGAAAGTGAGGTTAGTCCTTTAAAAGCCTCCACAGCTGTTGAAAGTATAATGATTTCTCTCTATTTCCCAGCATTAAGCCACTCAGTAAAAAGCTATCCTGTGGGGATGTTATTTATTTATTTATTTATTTTATTTGACACTCATTTTGCCATGAGGAGATATGGGGTAGCAGGGAGACTCAAGATAGCAGGGAGAAGCCAACTGGAGCACAAGTGAGTGCTCTCCTGTCCTTATCTGGAGAGGTTCCATGGTACTCAACAAGTTTCATCTGGGACCAAGTTTCCTAGACTAAGTTAAATCCAAAAATGCTAGAAACCTGGCATTCAGACCAATCACTATCACAATATCATAAATAGACAGATAGAGCTAAGCTATATTTCCACACCATTCAAGAAAGACAATAAAAATCTAAGATGGAAACAAAAAGACCAGAATACGTCCTCTCCAACAACCAATATCCAGATAAAATTAACATCAGACAAGCAATCTTGCAGGAAACAATACTCTAATCAAGGAACTATCTAGGATAAAACCACACTCTACTGGGGGGACAAGTTACTGTACAGAAACAGGGAGCAAACCTCATATCTACTAGTAATGATGGTGTAACCCAGTTGGGTAATGAAACATCTGAAAGCAAGCAAGCAAGCACAGAGAACACAAGGATTCCCCTCTGAGGTACATGTATTCTCTTCCATGGAACTGTTCTACTTCAAAGTCCTTTGGTCATGACCTCTATTTGTTCAGAGATGGGCTAGCTTGCCATCCCTCATCAAAAAGCCTGTCTTCTGGACTTCTTCTTCTGGTTTCAAAATTGGAAGTTCCAGTTGCAACATTAAAAGTGCAAGGGCATTTGTCTGTTCAAAATGTGCAAATATTTATTAATTTATTTATTTATTTATCAACAGTGCAAACTGTTGATTGAGGCTTTAACATGATTTGAAATACCTTGATGAAGACTGTTGTGTTACCTTTGAAGTATGAACTTTGCTGAGGCAAAGCTCAGACTCCTCGCAGGAGGCTAAGCATGCAGCTGAGATTAGAAACAGTGGTACAAAGAATATTGACTGTAAATTACTCAAGCAAATATTCAGGGAATTTTCATCACTTCTTATTCCATCTGCTAGGATTTTGCTCCCTTCCTCCTCTTGGGAATTCCTTAATCCATGCATTTTCTCAGGATTGAAAGCACCTTTTCATTTTTGAATCTAAAGTGCTCACAGCCTCTCCCTTTTCCCTCTTCTTCACATGAGATCAGGCCTGGTTTTTCTGTCTGAAAGCAGCCTGTGGCCTTTTAGTAACCTGATGTTTTTCTGAACTCTGACTTGGAAGGTAGCTCACAGATATGACTCTGCCTCTTCTTTCTCATCTGTCCCTTGTCTCCCAGCCATTCAGAATTCCTCAGCTCCCAGCTGTTCAATTATCAATTATTCAGTCACTCTGCTTTGCTTGAGCAACCGCAAGCAAAAGTCCTACCCTTTCCTCTTTTCTTTTTGGAGGGTTGCAATTAGGATAACAAGCCAATGTCTAAACATCACCCTGCAAATGCCCCATTAATGCTTTCAGTATTCCATATCACAGAAAGTGGGTAGTGATGCTTAAGTGGTATTAATTGGTTCCTACAGCCTGCAGCTAGGTGGAAATATTGAGAAGCATAAGGTATATCAAGTTATATTTCATTAAATTAGTCCTGACAGTGGCCACAGCAGCCACCACGATTTGCAATGGCAAAATACTTTGACACTTATGCNACTGAGCTCATTACCTTTTTACCATTTATATAGAGAAGACCTTTTGTAAAACAGCTTGTGCCATCTATATCTGAAGGATGATACAAAAGAGATGGCTGAGTAGCAAGGCCCCTACTGCTCTGAACCCAAATAGATACCTGTCATGTTTAAAACACTACTTGAGTTTTTATTTAACAGCCAACAGTAAAGTCAAGAAGAGCTCAGAAATAAAAAATAGAACTCTGTGTTCTGTGCATCCTTGAATCTAGAATGTAGCATTCGGAGAATCAGCGTTTATATAATGTTTTGTTGTGTTATGTTACATCGTGTCATTATATTTTTATCCTGCCTGTATTATTTTTATAAATAACTCAAGGTGACAAACATACTCCTTTCTCCTCCTATTTCCCCACAACAACCACACTGTGAGGCAAATTGGACTAAAAGAGCCATTGGTCCAAGGTCACCCAGCTTGATTTCGTGCTTAAGGCAGGACTAGAACTCACTCTCCTTAGTCTCAGTCACCTAGACCAGGGTTCCCCAACCCCCGGTCTGTGGGCCGGTACCGGGCAGCGGCATGCCAGCAACCAGTCTGCACAAACAAGCAAAGCCCCATCGGTGGGATGCAGACAACGCACAAAAGCACGCATCCTCCGGTCCAAGAAAAAACTTTTCTCCATGGAACCGGTCCCTGGTGCCCAAAAGGTTGGGGACCTCTGGCCTAGACCAATATTAATATTATTTTTTTTCTTTCATTCAGTTGTGTCTAATTCTCAGAGACTGCCTGGACAGGTCTCTGCAGTTTACTTGGCAAGTTTTTTCAAAAGTGCTTTGCCATTTTTGAGAAGTGGTTTCCTAGGGCTGAAAGAGACTGACTGACCTAAAGTCATCCAGCCAGCAGGACACACAGTCTACTGGTTTCTAAATTGGTGCCTTAACCCCTACAACAAACTGGCTCTGTATAAAATGATGTGGGATGGGTGGGGTGGGATGGGGTAGGATGGGATGTATGGTGTGGTATGGTATATATTTAATGATTTTACAGGACAGTTGAAGTATATAAGGTTATGTGTTGAAGATTATATAGAATTCTTGCTACACAATCAAGCACGGAATCCATGAAGTTCAGCATTGGCCTGACAGAGCAGGCTTAGCAGGGTGAAGATTGTGTAGTGCTTAAAAGTGAAGCCGCCTATTTGAGTATAAAACACCTGGTGTTTTTTTTTCCAATATCTTGTTTTTTCCTTATTTTCAGCCTCAGCTGATAGAAGATTTCCGTGCTCTGAGAAAGACAGCTGAGGACATGAAGCTATTCAAAAGCGATCCTGTATTTTTCTTCCTTTATTTGGGTCACATCATTGTGATGGAAATTTTGGCTTGGTTAATGGTATCATATTGTGGGACGAGTTGGAGTATA